AACACTGATAATTTTAGAGGTTTGTAATGTGATGTCGTAAATAAACACATTTTTTGCGCTTACATTGCAAACGCTGGCTGAACCCTACGAGATAGATCAAAATAATATACTACAGTATTGTACACATTAAAAAGGTCTACAAAAAAGTCCGGGATTGTATATGTCTATCTCTTAGGGATAACCCACAATAACCATTTTTTATCCTTTACTTTTTATGAGAAATAATGGCTTATTTACAAAATGATTTTAAGCAATACAGCATTAATCATTATCCAATTAAGTACTTTTAAATACATTGTGCATTTAATATAGATTAATACGACCCTTCACAACATGTAATTTAAATGAATATTTTGGAAGATATTAAAGATTTGCGGCGCTACCGGCGAGGGCCCGGTTTGTATTATCTGATGACCAAAAAAAGCTGTGAATGTTGTATATAAAGACATTCTGTAGTATATTTTGTATCAGCATTGCACCCGTGCGAAGCTGGGGCGGGTCGCTAGTAATTAATATAATATCATTATTTATTTATTTCGATTAAAAACTGCAGCGGTTGATTTTATTCAAGATAAAGTTCAAGTTATGATCACTTACTCGGACGTATTGTACTGCTGGTTTCACGTACTGTTTTGCACTAATCTTTTGGTTTAAATATTTAGTGGATGCGTAATTTATTATGGCTGTTATCGTTTCTTCAAGCCTTTCGGGATCAAAAAGCGCGGCTTTGGGGAATTGCTGATTTTTAAGAAAATTGTTAAGGACAAATTCAATCGTTTTAACAAACCTGAAACAATAGCGATAAAAAATAACAATATAAATATATAATGCAATGTTATGTGTTATCTAAATAAAGGTTTACCGTGTTTGAGTTTCTGGATTAGTAAAATACGCTACCAAGGTAGCAATTCTTTTGGTTATCGTTTCAATCCAGTGTCGCCTAAAGGAATGATTTTGTAATAGTTCCATAGTCCTAGCCGTACTGAACTGTCCATTTTTGTCGAGAAAGGCAGTGGCAACTTTTGGGCCCAAAGTCATTTTGGCCAGTTTCTTACCAGTGTCGGAGTTTATGAAGGTAGTGATGAAATTATAAACCTTTTCTAATAATGCTGGGATAAACCAGTTCTTATTACCGTTCTCTCCCCCTTGATCCTCAATATTCATGAGCGACATAGCGGATGTGATTAAGTTGAGGATATTGTTGCTTCCGTCTTTTCCTCCGCCTTGATTCATAAATTTCCCTAGCATCGATAGTATCGACAGCATATCGATTCCCTTGTTTTCCTTTTTCGATCCACCACTTAGAAAACTTTGAGCTAACGTCCCTAATAGTTCTGCATTTAAATTTATTCCCAATTTCTTTTCGGAGTTTTCATCTTTGCCTTTAGATTCCAAGCTTGACTTGATTGCATTTCCGATAACGTTTCCCAAGATCGATGATGTATCGACCCCTTGACCTTCTTTCTGGTTTATTATCGATCCCAATCCTTGTAAAATTTGTTGGGCTGCTGCTTCTTTATTGATCGAACCCAGCAAGGCGTCTCCAATGTTCTTTCCACCTTCCGATTGGATGAAATCGTTTACCACACTTCCCAGATTTTGAACATTTGGATCTTGTAACAAGTCTGAAGCTACTTCAGCGTAAGTCTCTAAATTTCCTTCTTCTATGCTATTCGATTTCACGTCATCATCGGATGACGACGATTGAAATAAAATGGTAAATATGACTAGAAAGTGTAATAAACGCGCCATTTATGATTCTGAAAGGAAAGGGACGTTGTCAAACTCTAATAAACATTTTTAAAGTATTTTAGGAAAAAATATCAAAATATCGATTAATCTACGATACATTTTGTTAAAAATTACAAAACAGTTATTGACCGATTAATAATGGTATGGGTACCAAGAAATAATGCGTCAACGTTTATACACTGTGTGTAGTACAAGCAGTTATTTACATACTTTCTTGCAGTTTGTAATTAGAATTGTCTACTTAATAATTCAATTACTTCGTACGTAGTTTATGGAATAACAGTATTTAACGATAAACGTGTGTTATTTATTGAATTAGTTTCCAACAATTATTAACATGCGGTAATCTTTTATTGTTTTTTTTTTTGTGTATAGATTGAAGTGTTTGTATGATACAAAGTAATTATTATCTGTAGAATGATAAAGACAAAAACTAGCAACTAAAGTTTTACAAGATATATATTGATAATAATTGAAAATTGTTATACAACATCAAGCAAAGTTGTTGAGTATTCGAGTGTGATTTCATAGGAATTAAACTGATAATGATTCTGATCTGTTTTTCCTTATTAGTTTGCCATTTTAAGTTTACTGTCCTTTTAATCTTGCTCTTACTTTTGGCAATAAATATTTAGTTTACAAAGGACTGCGATGCAGTTTGCTTTTTAACTTTTAAGTACTCAATGTACATATCGTTGGACATTGAAGACTGTAGTTTTAATTCACAATAAAAGGAAAATGTTTTTGAAATACCTTAATACTTTTACCATCAAATCCTGTAACTCAAAAGAAAACATTTACCTAACTTTATTTTGTCATCTGTAGTGATATACGCTTGCACCGTAATACAACGATAGCATTTCTTTATTATAAACAGCTACCGTTTGCAATTAAATGAGGACTTAATGAGTTAGTAATTATAACAGTATCAAGGTGCATGACGTATTTTGTCAAAGACAGCACTTACGATTAATCAGATAACACTTACATGTTTTATTGTAGGTAGAATTTTATCGTACGGTTAAAAAGTCCTGTTGTTGAATTAAACGTTCGGGTGAAATTTTCAAAAAAAACCATGAGAGAAATTCTATCACATTTCACTTGCGCGCACAATACTGGTAGCGGCTTCTTGTACAATTTCGTGTGAAATAATGATTTGTAATAACATATAAGCGTGTCAACCGAATAAACAACGGTACTTGATCGTGACGATGGAGAATCCAACGGTGTTTTCTTGGTTACTGAGTACCTTGACTCAGTTACATGGCCTTATATGTTTGTGGAACTGAGTTACTTGGACGAATCGTACTGGTAGAGATGCTCTACCTACACCTACCTGTACCTGCCTGCATCTACCTACCTGTTTATCTCCCGTTCTTAAAACTAATCTTATCAGTGCCAGATTTCAGACACGACATTGAATGGCATTTATTGCCTGCGGACGTGGCTTTTGTATTTGTTTTCGACAAACAACTTCAAGAATCGTGTTCTTCGTATGATTCCTGGCCCACTTGTACCCATCTAAGTGGAATTTTAATGTTTCCAAGTACATTTCATAATTACAGCATTATTTGACCAATTAAAATAGGAAAAATTAAACTTAGCCTTGCTTCTTCCCCTTCTTCGAAGTACCTTTCAATAATCCCTAATTTCTGCTCCAAATATAGAAGAATTATATTTAAATAATAAATACATCAAAATAATTTTCCTGTAGCAGGTTGACACATGATGATATTCTTCTCTTTTTATCAATCTGACTTAGCGTGCTATAGAAACGTAGTTCCTTCATATTTTCTTAAAATACTGCTTTGTTTTTGGAAATTAGTCTTTAATGATACTAAGTAAATCCTTTGTGCTTGTTTAGTGTGGGGATTTAAACTTTTGGAATGTTTTGTTTTTTTTTTTTACATTTATTACCATTAAAGATCATTGAACTTCTGCATAAAACCGTTTTTTATATGAATAACTGTTACATAGGTATCTACTATTTTTTCTAGCATAACAGACTAGAACATTATTTTCTTACTGATCTTGAATGACGATAGTACGATTTACGTTTACTTTAAACGAATCAGTAACTTTACAGGCTAAAAACGGTAGACATTAATTTTGTACTAATAAATCCTTGCAAATTACAAACAAATTGGAATCATTTTGTTATCAGATAGTTTGTAACATCCTTATATTAAAAATAACTACATGCACCTAATAAAGGATTTACTTAAGAGAATATCTTAATTTGTAACAGNTCTTTTCGCAAATCCATTTTATGTCCTGTTACGCTTCAAAATTTTAATGATAAGATACAAGTATGCATATACATAAATTATTGCCTTAATTCGAAGGTATGTTACCTATTGTTTCTCTATTTTTCGTTTTTTTCTCAGTTTTAATACATAAAACGACTTTTTGGGAAGGGTTACTCGCTTGTTCCAGCATTGAATTTCGTAGACTTTCAGCGTTAAACGTGCTGTAAATGCTAATCAAATCATTATTAGATCAATTTATCTATATATACACATAAGATTGAAGTGCCTGTTTGTGTATTATGGAAATAACTACCTTTTTATTAATCCGTATGGTTATTTAATTGCGATTAAAATATAAATGACGAAGCTTCGGGCTAATCTTCGAGAAGACAAAACCGATTTCAGTTAAACTTTACCAACATGAACAGGGGGTTGTCAGGAGTGATCTAGTCTTCATTTCTTTATTTGTTTATCAATAATTACATTTATTATAAACAATTAGAAATAGCTTCACGGCAATTATTCCATTTCAAAAATAGAAAATTATAATTATTATATTGATGGAAAGTTTTGATGCTGATACTTACCATTAGTTGTTTTAAATCCGGATTGTACGTAATTGAATACATGTGTAACAGGAACTTGAATTGTTCTTGTTTTAGTAATTGTGCTGCTGTAGATGTTGCCCTTGTATGCAAGGCAAATCGCCTGTAATAAGTGGGGTTTAATGTATTAAAATTTATTTTTGTGTCTATACTATGGCCACAGTGCAAGGGGCATAACGAAATCCACAGGAATTGTCTTATGATTGATGAAAATCAAATCAGAAATGCCATTTCAACTATAGAAGAACTACGAAATTTTGATACAAAAACATGAACCTGAAATCTTAATTTAACATTTTAAATAAATTGTTTAAAAAGTTATTACAAGTAGGTACTGTGTACTATTTAAACTTAAATTGCTTGTTGGGTATGTTTAAGAACCTAACAATGTCGAACCTTGTGTATAAATCTCGTTATTAAGTCTTTTTTTCGGTGATGGTAACCACAAAGTGTTACCATTCCTTTGACTATTGTTTTTTTTTTCTCTTGCAAGAACGCCGAGTGCTTTCGCTGACTGGTCTTGATGAAGGTCGGCTCTTTAAATTAATCGATTCGTTCGCTAGGTACTTATTACTGAATGAAAAGAGGAGTCTGTAACTAATAATATATATAACGTTTAAGTTATTTAATTCCTGTTAAACGTATTTTCACTTTTATATTATTAGGTAGGTGAGCGAAACGTCGGAGGGTAATTTTTACTTATTTATTTCACGAATGTTACAAAGTAAATTGCAGTTACTTAAATATGAAAATGCGATGGCATAGAGAATCGCTTTTTTGTTAAGACTACGTTAAAGTCTTCTTCTATGAGTGTCAAAAATGGGCTAGAAATTAGGACTATTTTGGTTGAAACCTATTGTGTCAAAATAAAAACAATTGTGATTAGGTTTTCTTTTCTTGATCAGAAGTAATTTGGTGTAAAGTTTTAATGATTATAAGATGCTAATTATTCTCACAATTTTAAAGTGTATTATAGTTTTCATTTTACTACTTTTCCCGCCTTTAATATACTACATAAACGGTGTTTTGAGATGGGTTACTCGCTTGTTCCAGCATTGAATTTCGTAGACTTTCAGCGTTAAACGTGCTGCAAATGCTAATCAATTCATTTATAGATGTTTTTATCTATATATATAAATAAGATTGAAGTGCCTGTTTGTGTATTATGGAAATAACTGCCTTTTTATTAATCCGTATGGTTATTTAATTGCGATTAAAATATAAATGACGAAACTTCGGGCTAATCTTCGAGAAGACAAAACCGATTTCAGTTAAAGTTTACAAACATGAATAGGGTGTTGTCAGGAGTGATCTAGTTTTCATTTCCTTATTTGTTTATCAATAATTACATTTATTATAAACAATTAGAAATAGCTTCACGATGTTGCAGAACAATGCTAGGTGGCCAAAAAAATTAATTCATTAAAAATAATTACAGAAAAATTTATTAAAAAGCGGTTTTTACATTTCAAAAACATTGCAATAAATAAACAATAAGGAAGTTTTTTCTGTTAGAACTCTATGTAATTCTTTATTAAACCTATTATTATAGTGGTGTATATTATAGGTATCGGTCCCTTCAATTACATTATCGATATGTGGAAGCAAGTAAACATTGCACATTTACTATTTTCTTTTCGCATTTTTTCGCAAATCCATTTTATGTCCTGTTACGCTTCAAAATTTTAATGATAAGATATAAGTATGCATGTACATAAAATATAGCCTTAATTTGAAAGTATATTACCTACTATTTCCCTATTTNTGTATTAATGAATTAAATTTGATTACCTGTTATTTTCAGTTGGTTTTGCCAATTCAATACCTTTCGTAGGTTTTGGATTTTTGGACAATTTCTTTATGTTGTTTTTCGTAAGTTATTGGTATTTTTTTCTGTCTTATTTAATTAAAACGAAAACCGTATCTTAGGGTGACTATATAGATTTTTACTTGGGTTCGACATTATGCCTATCCACAATGGCAGCAGCAGCTTTGGGAAACACTTTGTCTGATATCCTGGGAATTGGTTCAGCTTTCTATGTGGAAAGATTAGCCAATAGAATAGGCGTTAATCCTCCGAAACTTTCGCCAATCCAAATGGAAATGCCTTCTTCTAGACATTCGGCTAATCTTGGAAGAGTTTTGGGAGTAACACTGGGATGTATCTTGGGCATGTGTCCCCTTTTTTTTTTCAAGAATTCTAAGGATAAAGAAAACGCAGATGAAACCACTGACCAATCTTAAATAACAAAAAAGGAGAAACCCTTTTCCTAAGCTAAGCTTTACTCAATGAATTTCTTACTGCCTTCTAGAATTAGATAGCATCAATTTTAATAATTTACAAGGTTCAAATAAAAAAGAAGAGCGAAGATACCAATGAAAAAATATGATTTAAGAATCACTTTTCATAATTACTGTCTCCAGTAATATTTTATTAATTGTATAAATTACGATTTAAACTTATTTTAGTGGCCGAAAAAATGAACTCGTATTTTCCCAATTTTAGCAATGTCTTTTTAATTGTGTTATTTATTGATCATGTCTTGATTTTTGTTTGAGGTTCCTATAAGTAAAATTACTAAACACTGCTGTGCAATATCAAATTGATGTAGCTTCAAAATATGTCATATTTCATACCTTATATCTTTTTGATGTTAAATTTTAACGCCAAGTCGTTCAATTACTTAGTACAGTAGGTTAATAACAAAATGTTAGATGCCATACACAAGTACAGTAGACTCTCGGTAGTGTGAACATCGCATAAAGTAAATATCTCTTATTGTGGACTGAGTATAAATTGTGGTAGACTATTGGATGCTGTGAACAACCTAGACATTGGGTTGTAGATATATTTGGTACATCTTTGTCGTATTAACTGGAAAGAGATGTTTTATTCGTGTATTCACTTAAATAGATACATGGGGCATAGTTCTTTATTAATGGCTGTTTCATCAGGTAGAGCTATAAACCTAGTGGACAGAAGAGAGTGACGTTGACATTATCAAAGGCTCTGACGCTAAAATAAATGAATATTTTTGACTTCTTTGGTAACTAACGCATCCGTTGTTGTCTTTTAAGAAGTATGTATGTATTAGTGTTTTATGTTTGTATGTGTGGTTATTTTAGTAATTATGAATCTTTATTACATACTATTTTCGTTTACATGAACAAATTGATGATGTTAATAAGTTTGTTTTTTCTGTTCACACTATCGAGCGTCTATTGTACAGTAATGTTAAATGTGTTACAAAAAAACGTAAATGTATCTGTTTGCAGTTAAATAGGATTTTTAATTAATAATTATTATTGACTTAAATAGTTTACGTAATTTTATGTATTTTAGTGACTGTTTTAGCCACTGTACGAATTACAGAGTAACGAAGGGTACAGTGTCGTGATGTCATCAGTGTAATAAATAATGCACATATATTGTAATTATTGTAACAATACTTCCTATTTAATATTTAATGTGATTCCTAATGAATAATTGTTTCTTTTTGAAACTTAATTTTTGTAAAACGATCAAAAATTAAAGTGTATACAAAAATTAAATGTAAAGCAATAATGAAAAATAAATAAAATTATAATATCTGCACGCATTTTTGTTTTGATAAAATGTTAATTAGCAATTTCCTTGGTACGTGAGATATTTTTTAAACAGTGTTTTCTGGTCATCATCATAAGGTCGTCAGTCCTAAGACTGGTTGGACATGAACCTTCACTCCTTCCTACCCTGAGTTAATCTTCGCATTTCCTTAAAACTAGAACAACTCACATTCTTAACTATTTTCTGGTATTAGCTAATTTTACAAACGTATTTGATTTTGGTATAAATTTTACCAGTATTTTTTTCATCGACTATACATAATCACTGCCACACAATTTTGCATGTAGTGTAGTTTGTGACTAGCAAAATAAAATAGTACCTACAAATACAGTGTCTGTTCATAAACTAACTCATTAACTCATCTAATGTTAATTATATTACATTAAGATTGCTAAATTTTTGATTATATTTTGTTACATAAATATGCCAATAGAAAAAGGAGGTTTAACAGTTGAAAAAGTTTTTAAACTTTATATTTTCGGAATTATACATTAAATGATAATTTTATGAAGTGAAATTTTATCAATGTGGATCATTTTAAGCAAAAATCCCCTCTTGCAAGCTATAATTTCTTTAAATAAGTTAATTAAAAAAGAACTGACGCATCCATTACATAATTCAAAATCATAATCGAAATAAAATAAGAAAGCAACTACTGTAGGATTACATAAACAGTACACATCATATAATTCTCCAAAATAATTAAATCTCAGTTTATTGTTTTACTGTTTACAAGAATTTAACATACATATTCGTAAATTTACCTAATTTTAATTCAATTTACCGCCAAACATTCTAATATTAGCAACCAATGACACCTTAGTTAGCAATGGGATGTTTCATAAATTCATACGCAAGGGAGATGAGCCGAAAAAGTTATCGTGGTCGGGAGTGCGTCTTTTACTTAATTTATAGAATATGATTAAATTACAGCAATTAACTTTCTTGTGAGTAATTAGTTAACTAAAGATTAACGCGCGAGTGTAAGTGCCAATCAACATATGAAAGTCGACTGAAAAAGGTAAACATTCAAATTTATAGTAACATAGGTACTAACTTGTTATAAAAATCTTAAGACTAAGTGGGTATCGTTGTCAATTAAAAAAGCGTATAAGATTCGATACTAATGATAATTTTTTATACTTTCTGTTTATTATTTATGCCCGGCGATATTGTAAAAATGATAACGATACCTAATATTTATTAGGTTATGCGAAGAAAAGGCTGCACCACAAGTCCAACAAACAAAAACAAGGTGAATGAAAGGTCGTTTAGATTGCAAGTGGTTTTTAAGATAATTTTATGTAGCTTCACAGCATTAGGTTTGATTTTAAATTAATATTGTGGTTTATAAAAGAAGATAAAATGTAAATTTTGAAATTTCAATACACGTGGTTGAACGATTGCATTTACGGCTACAATAACAAACAGAACAATTGCCTGATTTTCTAAATGTTCCGGTTATAATATATACTTATACAAAAGACAAAGCATTAAACATTAGTAATTTTAAAACATAAAACCAAATAAACGATTTTTTGAATGATTAAGATTCAAACAATTTCTACATAATAATGTTAAATGTCTATAGCGTATAGGCAACTTAAACTACATTGGTGCATTTAGCATTTCATTCTTAAGAGTAAATCTTTTGTTTTTTCGAAAATAAAAAGATCTGTTTTACGTTAACCCTTTGTTTTTCAAAAAAAAAACAAGATATAATGAAGTATTTTTTCAGTCAAAACTAATTGCTGTTCCTTCAGTTGCCTTTTTAATTAGTGAATCAAGTTTATTTAAAAACTCTTGACTTAGAGCTTCCTTGTAACCTCCGACTTTTCCACCCCTCATAAAACTCCCTTCGAATTGTATTAAGTCAAACTTTTTATTAAATGCAACTACATCTTCGTAGTTTAGAGAAGTGTTGGTTTTCATTTTTTCGAAGCTTAAATGTTCGAGAAACTTCTTCATTTGTTCTTCGTTTGGGATGCTTTTTTTAAGAAAAGTACAAACCGTTTCAACAACTTTTCTTAAATCTCTTTTAAGATCTTCAAATCTTAATATGAGAATGTTTGATTTGTTTCGGTTCTCCCAAAATGAGATAACATTGGTCCAGTATGGTCCGAAAGGAACTAAAAGAATATAATTCTATTTAATTGAAAATGGAATATCAGTAGCCTTTTTTACCTTTTCCTTCTAAAAATAGTTTACAGAATTCTTCTAAACTTCCCGTAAATCCTTCAAGAAGAAGACTATGGTGATAATACGAATTGCAGGTATCTTTTGGGTTTCGGAATACATAAATGATCTAAAATTTTAATACTGATATCAATTTGATTCTTGTTTTTGAAAGTTCGCGTATTTTAATACCTTCGGCTTTTTTATCCCTTCTCGTATTTGTCTAGGTAAAAGAAAGTACGGAAGATGAGTCTTTATAAGACGGGGTCGCTTTAATTCTGCGACATATTTTAACGAGTCAATTTGAAAATCTAGGGGTTGGAATTCTGAATTTTTGATCATGTTGTCTCTGTAGTCAAATAAAAACGAGAAACTGAAAGATAAAAGAACAAAAGTGACAAAATTTATATAAGTTGCTGTTTGTAATATTGATTACTCTAAAAAGGGGAATCTGGATCCTATGTTCTCTTTAGCGCCTTCGTAATCCAGATTGTTGCACAATAGCCACACGATTTCTTGAGTCCATGTGGTACCTGAACGCCAAATTTTATTAATTTGGAAGTATTTTGTAAAAGTGTTAATATTAAAGCAAAAATCGCATTTAAAGTAGCATACATAAAAAATTGAGGGCTGCTTCTTCCGATAACAAGGGAAGTTATACTTTAGAAGTGACTTTTCTGTTAAATAAAAATCGATTAAGTACAAGTATTGCTTACCAGTCTTTGGAAAACTGCAAACCCAAACGTCGTCATCATAAACTTCGAGGTTTTCTATATCCTCCGCTAAATCCTTGTATCTCAAAGGAAGTGTAACACCTTTAACTGAGACGTACCCTTTTCGAAAAGTATTCACCCACTTTTTGTCTAAAATGTCGTCAGAAATTTGCGTGCAGTCTGTTTTAGACATTTTAAAATTAAAATTCAAATGGCCAATAAATTTGCCCTTGTTACCGTTTATATAAGCGATTTAAGAACCTTGATTAGTAAAGTAACAATTTAACTAAGTAATTTTATTAAATGGTAAAAAGTATGTTTCCTAATTTGTTTCGCCTTTTTTTGGCCAAATGTGGACCTTAAACTTGGATAAACTGTTTTTATAAAAGCGCTGATTTACGAGTGGTATGTATTAGGCAGCTTAAATTCTTCGTACAAAAAGTTAATACATTTACAGTACGTATATAGATATTCTATTGTTATCTTAATATTTATTGTAGAAACATATATTTTAAAGCAAATTAATTTTGGATATGTTCATAAATCAATAAATTAACACAATAAAATAAAAAAAAATGTAAGTGTCATTTCCTGAAGCCCCAAATGTGATTTGTAAATTATTATGAAACAGAACATTGAAATTACACATTTCAGAGACAAAAACGACATTATCTGCCATGACCGCCGCGCAGTTGATATTGTTATAACTTAATTGTGCTTTCAGTTGTGTAACCATTTGCGTTTACATTAACAAAAAAGGAAAGAAAATTGCGTAGTTAAATAACAAATAAAACCAATACGTGAAAGGATAATAAATTAAAAATGTGCGAAACCTTCCAATATTAAACTATAGCACCCTCTAAATAACCCTCGGATCCGCTGACAAATTATCTCATAGGGATGATCCTACTTTCAAATACTATTAAAGCTACGATACAAAAAATTATTGCAGGACAAGAAAGGCTTCAACTGAAAAGTAGTAATTTACTATCGAAGGGTTTCGCACCCTGTAATTATTTCGTGGTTCTAATCATAATTTTAATAACTTCTAGAGCTTAGAAACAAAAAAATAATGATGGGACAAAAACAACTTCCCCTGAAAAGTAATAATTCAGTGTTGAGGGGTATAGCACCCGGTGGATAACCCTTACACCCGCTGACAAACTATTTAATAGACATCGTACTCTGTTAAGAGTTCGGATACAAAAAATTATTGTGGGACAAGAACAACTTTCCCTAGAGAATAATAATTTAATATTGGAGGGTTTTGCACCCTGGGAATCACCCTTAGGCCCGCTGACAAACTGTCTTATAGGCATAATACCCTTTTNTTCAATAACTTTTTAACGATTTAGTGAATCGATTTGTAAGTTTTACAGGAGTTTTAGAATTGAATGAGGAACGTTCTTCCAAATTTTTATTTGTCCCGTAGCATTTTGACATACCTCCCAAAAATCCTTAAGAAAATTACAATTTTTTAAAATTTCAATAACTTTTGAACGGTTTAGTGAATAGATTTGTAAGTTTTACAGGAGTTTTAGAATTGAATGAGGAACGTTCTTCCAAATTTTTATTTGTCTCATAGCATTCTGACATACCTCCCAAACATTCTTAAAGAACTGCGTAACAATAGTCCAACATTTACCTTTAGAAGAAAGCACACACAAATTAAAAATCTATCATTTATCAAAGGTTTAAGGGAAATATTTTGGTGTCTTTCAAGGGTTAAGTTAGAGAAAGGTACGTCTCGCATTAGATAAGGAAAGGATGATAAATTAAACGTGTTAATATGCCAATATAACCCGTTGAAATGTTCTGTTTGACACTGCTACCACACGTATGAAGAGCTTTTTTTTAATCTAGATAAGAATAAGTAATCTATGTTATAATTATTTACGTTCTACGCTTAAACTAAGATCGTTAAGTGCCTTCACCAGTTATTGTGTACTCTCACAAACACTAAAGTATTGGATATATTTTTATTATTTCTGTTGTACTGTGTCAATAACGATAAATACTATACATACGTAAATTGTAGTGCGAAAAATAATTAAAAAAAAAAAAGAAATAAAAAACGAAGAAAACGTTGTAGTAATAGTGTTTAATAGACAGACAAGACTATTATTAGTAGGTAAATTGTTGTAGAGTCGAAAGAATAACGATAATAATGATAAAAAAAAATGAAACAACATGTGGGCTGCTACTTTCTACGTATTGTATCTCTGTAATAATGTAATGTATGCATGTTTCAACTCAATAACCCATCTACGTAAACGCTTATTACAATAATGTTGTAGTCTACATATGAAAACTGTCAATTGCAAACACAAATAGTACATAAAAACGTTTCTAATACGTAATAGAGTAGCTCTTCATTAATGTGGTCAAATGTGGGCAATTGTTTTAGATTACTATTGCAGATATGATATCGTATAAGAAACACAAAATTTGCAGGCACACTTTCAACCAGTGCTCTATTATTATTTATTAGGTAATGTAATAATAATAATAATTAATTAATCATTATATGTACAATGATACNTTTTCGCAAATCCATTTTATGTCCTGTTACGCTTCAAAATTTTAATGATAAGATACAAGTATGCATATACATAAATTATTGCCTTAATTCGAAGGTATGTTACCTATTGTTTCTCTATTTTTCGTTTTTTTCTCAGTTTTAATACATAAAACGACTTTTTGGGAAGGGTTACTCGCTTGTTCCAGCATTGAATTTCGTAGACTTTCAGCGTTAAACGTGCTGTAAATGCTAATCAAATCATTATTAGATCAATTTATCTATATATACACATAAGATTGAAGTGCCTGTTTGTGTATTATGGAAATAACTACCTTTTTATTAATCCGTATGGTTATTTAATTGCGATTAAAATATAAATGACGAAGCTTCGGGCTAATCTTCGAGAAGACAAAACCGATTTCAGTTAAACTTTACCAACATGAACAGGGGGTTGTCAGGAGTGATCTAGTCTTCATTTCTTTATTTGTTTATCAATAATTACATTTATTATAAACAATTAGAAATAGCTTCACGATGTTGCAGGTCAATGCTAGGTGGTCAAAAAATGAATTCATTAAAAATAATTACAGAAATTTATTAAAAAGCGGTTTTTACAGTTAAAAAAAAAACTATACAATAAATAAACAATAAGGAAGTTTTTTTCATTGAGAACTCTATTTAATTCATTATTAAACCTATTATAGTGGCGTATATTATAGGTATCGGTCCCTTCAATTACATTTATCGATATGTGGAAGCAACAAAACTTTGCACATTTACTATTTCCTTTTCGCATTTTTACAAACCCATTCCATTCCCTCTTTCACCCCGACGCCTTCCTTAGCAGTGCATGCTTGGATTTGCCAAGCTCTGTTCTTAATAGAAGGAAGCCCTAATGCTTCGGCCAATTCGGACGCTGTCAATGCATCTGTGAGGTCCTGCTTATTGGCATAAACTAATAGCGGGACGTCGTGGAGTTTGTCATCGGATAGAAGCTCGTACAATTCTAAACCTGTTTCTTCTAATCTTTTCTTATCCGCTGAGTCGACAACGTATATCTAAAAGTTCGAGAAATAAAATAGTAAAGGATTTTTAGGATTTTTCTAGGATGGAAAAAGCACTAAAGATAGGTATAATATAATTAATGGCGAAGAGATAGAAACAATAGGAGAATAGAAGGCGCTATGGAAGGCAATAATAATTAGGGTGGTAGGACACCTTTTCAGACGTAGAGGGTTAGTTAGAGGCGTATTAGAAGCAGAAACAGGAGTTAAGAGGGGCAAAGAAAGATAGAGAGCTAGGATATGTATGGTAAAATTCACACCTAATAGTGATTCTATCTTTTTTTTAAAAGTAAAAATACATTTCTTCGCGGATTATGTTTAGTTTCAATTTAATGTAGTTCTTATCAACGAGGTATAACAATGGCAAAGTTAATTGTAAAGTTTTTAGACTTCTTAGTATTTCTTAAGAAGTTTTAAAACATCTGCAAAAGCCATTGAAGCGAATCGTCACAAAAGCAGCACTTTTCAGTTATGATTAGTGAAGAGTAATTATGTGAAGCGTTAATTACTGCTTTTAATAGGATTTAGGCATTGATGCGCCATCTGCTAAAGGCTAAGATAAACCAACAGCTCGATATTACAGCTTTACTTTGAGCTTTTTCAATAATAAAGCTTGACAAAGCGGTTTACAGTATCGCAATTCGTTCGGGAAAAACTCTTACTAAGACGTCGGTGTTTTCGAAGTAATTTTTCCAGTAAGGTCGGATTTTTTTGTGTCCTCCAATGTCCCACACGTTAAGTTTAAAACCGTCAGATGTCACACTTTTTATATTAAAACCAGCGGTTGGCGTCACGTGATTGATATCTTCAGAAGACAGAATTTTCAGGATCGTTGTTTTTCCTGCGTTATCTAGGCCTAGCAGCAGCAGCCTGAGCTCCTTATCAGGCGAAGACCTAAGCCTTTTCAATATCGACAACAGTCCCTAAAACGAAAGTTTCATTTCAAGTGGTTGGCAACATTAGGTATTAACCCATTTTTATATTCGTGACTGACAAAAACAGTGAAGTGAAATTGTGACAGTTGTTATTGGCAAGATGAGCGTCGAGGAGGTCAACGATTTTTGTGCAATTTCTCTAAGCGGCTTGGTCTTGTCTAGAATTATCAATTTTCAAAACTTACCATTTTCTATAAATTAATATTGTCGCGTTAAATCTTTCGAGGCACATAAACACAAGCAATAACCTTTTGTTCTGTCTTGTTTGTAAAGATTTGAAAGTAGTAAGTTCCATATCATAGTAACAAGAAAATCAATAGGTGCACAATGCGCGTATTGTACAGTGGCTTCAATATGTACGGACAAATAATTCATGAAGCAGAATGTGTCGTTAAAACCATTAAAGAGTTTGAATATGCGGAAGTTGGAGACCTTGAACTCGCCTATTCCTATTTATTAATTAAAACAAACAGCGACAGTTTTGAAGTCCACGGTGCCATTAGTAGCACCGACGAAAAAACGACCCGAACGCTCGACTTTCCCGAAATAAAAAAAGATACAGTTCAATTCTCTTGTTGCCACAAATGGTGTCTTTTTCTAACCAAATCGGGGGAAATTTTCAAATGGGAAATAGCAAATCCGGATAAAGTAGGCCTGTTGCCATCTTTAGTATCTTCCGATGATGATGATGATAAGGTCAGCAAGATCCGTTGTGGATCGCACATCACTGTCGCCAGTTCTTTTAAAGGAAAAATATTTAACGTTCCAAACCTTTTAGAACATAGAATTCCAAATTTAAAAGATTTTTGCGTAGGTAATGAACATTGTATTCTTTTGGATACAACGGGGAATGTGTACAGTTTTGGGAGAGGAAGGTGGGTATCAAATAAAAAAAAGAAGAATATGATAGCTACCTCCATACATATTAGATAACCCATTAAAACACAGTTTTTTTTTTATATTTTAACTGATAATAAGCTTGATTAACATATATTATCAAGTAACTCTTCTTCTTAAGAACTGCTAAAAAGAAAACGGTGTCATACTGAAGCAATTAACAGTAAACAACCAAAGCATGGCATTGCCATCACTGGAATTCAAAAGTATCTGCCCAAATAAAAGTTTTAAGCTTGTCAGCGGTTCCACATGCTTCTAACGGGTTTCGGTCAACGACCTGTGTTTTTATTTTATTTTTTTTCATTTTCATCCACTGACAGACTGAACTTACTGTTACAGATTAAGGGAAATAGTACACACGAAATTTCTTTTAGTTCAAAAAATATTTAACACAAAAACACATAGGTACGCTGCCTTCTTATCTAGGTGTATCGATATCAATAAGTTAATCGTTACGTTTTTATTTCGAATTTTAATGAAAACATTAAAACGCTTGTTATATGTGTTATCAATGAGGAAAGAGGAGTCCACAACACGAATAAAATTGTTCAGGTTCAAACGTTCAAAGGTCATATTAGTTTAGTCGTTTTTTACTCCGGTAGAGATCTTTGTGTTTGTTTAAAACTTCACTAGATTACATAAGTACACAGGAACATGTTTATATGTATAGTTTGTTCTTGTTAATATAATAAGCGAAAATCAGCGTAACGGATTGGATTCGTGATCTACAACTCGGATTGCTTGAAGGCTGAGGTTAGTGTAACGGTCCAGAAAATCGCAATAGGAATAAGTACACAGTTTTCGGTTTTATTTTCGGCCACGTTATGTTTGACATCGTTAAGAATAATCCTTATCACCAATTAATAGTTCGTAATTCATATTAATTTATTTACTATTGTAAAATTGTTTAGGAATTTGAGATTTCTAACGATTTACTGGTCTATTGTTCCTCGAACTACGTTTAAAAAAGTTTATTTATTAGGATTATTCATCAGGGGCGTAGTTAATACGTAATAATAGTAGATACGAAAAAGATACATTGATGGAAAAATAAACGAAGCAATAATAAATGATTTTGTTGTACTGATCATATTTCAATTTACTTATTATTTGTTTATGGTAAGCATTGTTAATTTTCTGAATTGGTCCAAAGTTGAACAATTGTTAAACATCCTCCGTATGCCATTGTTTCTTTTGTTGCCATTCGGTTTATTGCGATAAGTTTCTGGAACTGATTATTCATATTTTAGAAATAATGGAAATTTTGTTTTTAAGAAAAGGTAACAGATAAATAAATTCGAGAACGCCCCTTTACAATATGATATAATGAACCCTTTTCTATTAGATACTGANTGTGGTGTTTTTTGATTATTCACCCATTTCTGTTTTCTGTGGTTCATTGAAAAAAGATATGCTTTAATAATACATACAAATATACAACTATCATGCATATCATTCTTGACTGAAAGCTTGAAATTTTTGAAAATAAAATTAAAAACGTTACCATCAATGACATTAATAACAAAAGATAAAATAGTAACAAGAGATCTTAATAGACAATTGTTTGATTAATAAATATCATTATTATTGAGCATCGCATTTATTAATAAAAAAAGGATATGGTGTTCTAGTCGAGGCCAGTTAGGTCATGGTAATTTGAATGACGAATCAGAACCAAAATTGGTGGAAGCTTTGGCAGGAATAAAAATAATTTCTGTGGCTTCCGGTGGATGGCATTCTTGCGCCCTTAGTGCCGATGGTGACCTATATATTTGGGGTTGGAACAGCAACGGTCAACTGGGTTTAGCTTCAAAAGATTCCCATTCAGCGGCTACGGAAGCGGTCTCTGTAATGGCCACGCCACATCCGGTTGAGCTTTTCGGAAATCAAGTCGATTCTAACGTGGTACAAATGGCCTGTGGAAGCAGGCACACAATAGCATTGTTAGGTTAGTTAGAAAAGACAATTGCCGGCTGTTAATGCAGGGCGAATCTTCTCTCTTGAATTTTTCCTTGATTTTCTTCAAAAAAATTATCGAAATCTTTTATTAGTCTATCAGGTCATAGAGTGCGTAAGTTGTTTATTATTTAAATGCTAAAAATTAGCTCTTTCTCCCAACAGAATTTTGAAAATGAGATATTTTGACGTTTTCTATATTGTGTGTCGCTTTTTGTCTAAATTTTGACACCCTGTATGATTGTTGTTACATTGTTTTTAGTACTGTTTGTCTACTTTTGAACTGATAATAAATATATACTGTGTGTTTTCTTTCCAACGTAACGAATCCCCAAACTAAACAAAACTGAATTAAATTGAATTCTATCTGAAAGAATTGGCGCCTATTTTTTTTTTCATTTTCCTTATTTGTTTGTTTTCTTTTAAGATAACAATGAATTGTATGGCTGTGGATGGAATAAGTACAATCAACTTGGAATTTCGTCTCCGGCCACTGAAAACATTCATAAAATGACAAAAATAATTGATTTAAACCGTCGTAGTAGCAAAATGCAGTTGAAATGTGGTCCTTGGGCAACTGCAGTGTTATTGTTCTTAGAATAAGTTCTTTTTCAATTATTTGTTATGAACAGATATTATGTAATAATAATGTATAGGTAATATAGTATTTTTCAGCTATTTTTTTTTAAACTTCCGAAAAAATTCTATGGGAAAAGGTCCCTGTAAAATCCTATATTTAATTAATCTCTATTAAAATTTAGTTGGTATATACTATTACATAATATACATATATAAAGGCGAATTAGGAATCAAACATATTAAGGATATTCGTACAAATACTTTTAGCCATATTTTCGATAAATTATAAAGCTTGACGTTTGATGTGTATGACGTGAGATAGCTCAAGATGAAAAAATCACTACTGACAAAAATCAACGAGCTTTCAATAAAAAGAAATCACTTTT